TTTCATCAGGGAGGACGTCAGCGTTCTGGGCTCCGACCTGAGGTTAGCGCCATTCGGTGCAGGGAGGAGGGTTTGCCCAGGGAAGGCCATGGGATTAGCTACTGTTCATCTTTGGCTGGCTCAGCTGCTTCAGAGCTACAAATGGGTGCCAACAGAGGGTGGTGTGGATCTGTCGGAGTGCTTGAAGATGTCACTTGAGATGGAGAAGCCTTTGGCCTGCAAAGCTGTTCCAAGGTGGTGAATGGGCACGAGGTGCTTTAAAGGTTACATATAAGAGTCTCTAACTAGCTCATATAGTAGTGTTTAGAGAATGGAGATCATTTTGGCCTCAATATCTCCATCGCTGTGTGACTTGTTGGGTAGGCTTGTTCTATGTAGTTGATCTCTGCAACTCTCTATAAGTGTCGCTGTTATTTATAATGCTTAGTTCTAGTACATGAATTATAGGCGAAATATTAATGCCACTGCTTTGTTTTTGTGCAAGTGTTTTCGTGTCTTCTGATTGTTTTTGTTGCTGCTGATCGCATGTTGTTGTAAGCATAAGTCTATAATTATGTTATATCTAAAATGCGAAAATAATTTATATGTCATGAAATAAAAAATATATAGATCTAATTCACAATGCTCTAACACTCTATCAACCCCTAGAGCACGTGGCTAAAATAGAATAAAATAGTTATTCTATTATATATCTTATTCAATTATGAAAGGATCACATATTCTAACATTCTCCCACTTGGCCCATTAATTGATAAGATATAAAAGAGATATTCAAAATCAAAATAAACAAAACAAGATTTGTTTAAAAAATTAATTTTACCTAATTGGATTCCAAGAAATTTTGAAAAGCATTTTATACATGGTAATGTTTTTAAAATAAGCCAATAAGTCTAATAAACATAATAATACTATATTAAATCCAACTATCAATGCGAGTCATAGCAGTTGTATTTCATCAATGTCATACTCCCTTCTATGTACCACAACATTGTTAGTCTTTCCTAATATAGTCCATAATGACCCCTGTAATTTGTCTTGTAAAGACAATCCTGTTATTACATTCAACCATAATATGCATAAACATAAATGTAAACAGGATAGCAGAAACAGATAACTTCAATTAAGCAAGAAGAATGTCAATAATAGCATCCACATAAACATGCATCATCATATCCTTTATGACTTGCTCACAAGCCCCATTCTAAGAACATGTTTTTTGAATATTTTACACTGTAAGGTTTTTGTCAATGGATCAGCAATCATTATAGTGGTGCTCAAATTCTCAATTAACACTTGCTGTTTCTAGACTCTTTCTCTAACCACCAAGTACTTTATCTCAATGTGCTTGGAACCACTAGACTACTTGTCATTCTTAGAGAAGAAAACTGCTGCAGTATTATCACAAAATATCTTCAGCGGCCTAGCAATTGAGTCGACCACACCAAGTCCTAAGATGAAATTTTGCAATGATAAAGCTTGATTTGTGGCCTCAAAGCATGCCACAAATTCAGCTTTCATTGTTGATGATGCAATAAGCGATTGCTTTGCACTTTTCCAAGAAATTGCCCCACCAGCTAACATAAATACAAATCCTGAAGTGGACTTCCTACTATCGAGGCAATTTGCAAAATCAGCATCTGAATATCCTATCACATCAAGCTGATCTGATCTCCTGTATGTGAGCATATAATCTTTTGTCTCTTGCAGGTATCTCATTACTTTCTTTGCAGCTTTCCAATGTTCCATTCTTGGGTTGCTTTGGTATCTTCCTAGCATTGCAACTGCAAAACTGATATCTGGTCTTATACAGATTTGAGCATATAATAGACTTCCAACTGCGCACCCATAAGGAATATTCTTCATTTGATTCTTTTATAAGTCATTTCTTGGGCACTGGTTTTGACTGAATTTTTCACCTCTAGTAATATGTACATCATTGGCTGAGCAAAGCTGCATATTAAATCTTTCCAAGATACGATCAATATATCCTTTCTGAGACAATCCTAATAATCCTTGAGATCTATCCCTGAATATCTCAATGCCAATAACATAGGCTGCCTCATTCATATCAACCATCTTAAAGTTCTTGTTGATAAATATCTTGGTTTCGTGCAATAAACCAAGTTCACTACTAGCAAGTAAAATATCATCCACATATAAGACTAATATAATAAACTTGCTCCCACTTACCTTCAGATATATACATTGATCAACAGTGTTTTCCTTAAATCCGAAGGAAGTAATGGTATTATGAAATTTTATATACCATTGTCTGGAAGCTTATTTAAAGCCATAAATGGATTTCTTAAGTTTACAAGCCCAATTTTCTTTTCCCTTTTCAATGAATCCTTCAGGTTGTTCCATATAGATTTCCTCATCCAGATCCCCATTCAGAAATGTTGTTTTCACGTCCATCAGATGCAACTCAAGATCATAATGAGCTACCAATGCCATGACGATTCTTAATGAGTCCTATCTTGAAACTGAAGAAAAAGTCTCATTATAGTCGATGCCTTCCTTCTGAGAAAAACCCTTGGCCACAAGTCTGGCTTTATATCATTCGATATTGCCCGTTGAGTCACGTTTTGTCTTAAAGACCCATTTACAACCGACTCTTTTACAATCATTGGGCAATTCAATGAGATCCCAAACATCATTTTGGACCATTGATTTTAACTCTTCTTTCATTGCATTATACCATTTTTCAGAATCGTTACTTTCTATGGCTTGTGAAAACGATAAGGGGTTTCTTTTTATTCCTATATCATAATATGATTCTTGTAGATATACCACATAATCATCAGAAATGACATGTTTTCTTTTCCTTCGAGATCTTCTCAAATCTACAAATTGTGATTGTTCTACAAGATCATCAGCGGCGACATCAACATCATGTGAGAGTTCTTCGATGTTATTTTGTTATTCACCCTCATCAATATTCTCATTGATTTGAGGAATAACAATCTCTCGAATAGGAGATGATATGGGAGAATTAACCTGAATCTCGATATCAAAATTAATCCTTCGAGATTTTTCACTCCCACTGATTTTGTCATTTTCAAGGAATTTTACATTACCATATTCTACTATTCTCATACTATGATTAGGGCAATAAAATATGTATCCCTTGGATTTTTCTGGATAACCAATAAAATATCCTAAAATAGTTCTTGGATCCAATTTCTTTTTATGTGGATTGAATACTCTTATCTCTACAGGACACCCCCAAATATGTAGATGTCTTAGACTGGGCTTTCTACCAGTTCATAACTCAAATGGAGTCGATGAAACTGACTTGCTAGGAACCCTATTCAAGATATACATAGCTGTCTTAAGAGCTTCACCCCACATTGACTCAAGTACAGAGGAATAACTCATCATGCTCCTAATTGTTGGGAAATCTTGGGGACGACATCATATGAATAGCGGAAGAACAAGAAAACAAAATCCCCGATTCCCAAAGAGATGTTCGTCATCGTGCGAAGATTGGTGCGCAAAATCCGCGAAACTTAAAACTACGTATAAAGTAGATTGTGTTACCTAGGGAGATCGTATATCCCTGTTTCCTTGCAGATCCTTAGGAGAGGGTGAAGGAGGTCAAGCGTCCTCCTCTCGAGCGGTGATCCACACAGCAAGGTTGCGACGACGCTCCCCAAAACTTCAGGCCTACTCTGAGGTGGAGAGGGGGAGGAGAATAGAAGAGGTAAGCAAAGACTCTAGCATTTGAGACTCTAAATCCCTCCTATTTATAGAGGTCCCCTGTCAAACTCTAATGGGTCCTCCCTTAGTGGGTATTGGATCTGTATCCAATAAGACAAGGGCTCCATCGGATATCTCATATCCGAACCTCTACTCATCGCAATGCCTACCATATGTGTGTGACCCTCTATGCCCAATATCGAGCTGGCCGTGAGTCATACCTGTCATAACTCCTTTTAACTCAGTGAATTATTATCTCTGTAATAATTCACTTGACTAATCGACTACGGACGTACTAGGCCACTACGCCGTAGTCCCCAGACGATACAGGGGAATCTAATCCATTGGACCTATCTGTCCTCAGTTACCGTGTACCTATAGTCCCTCATCCCTCTAATATCCTAGAGACCGTATATCGAGCATGGTGCTGTCAGACCCATACGGTTTTTACTCGAGTCTTGCTCTAATCGGATTCTCTCGGAGAACTCTTTCTCTCTCAACCCGAATGACCCTGGCCAAGGATTTGTCTGAGCAAAAACACATGAGATATTCCTCTCATGACGCCGAGAGTGGATGATCCTCAATCGACACTCAATAGCCCTCGTAAGGTCGATTACCACTCCCAATGACTAATTGTACTAGATCTGGGACAGCCAAACCTATAAGTCTGGTATCAAAGAGTAGAGCACTCATATATGACATCCTTGGTGTCTCAAGTCTAAGGACCAAATACACCAATAGGACTACGAAATCGCTGTCTGACAATAAGGCATCATCAACCATCCAGCATTCCGTAAGTGGATCAATCAGTGAACTTAATCTCCAATGAGCACCTGTACTGTATCCCTAGTGTCCCTACACGAGTAGCTATGAGACCAACTATATCCATCAATGGACGGGTATACAACACACCAGTCTATCCGGTTATCACGATGTCCCACTCGAGTAACCTATGACCGGG